ACAAAACCGTTCTCCTGCCAGCGCAGATGAGCCACCTGGCTGGTAGTGGAGACGTGTGGGCACCAGCCACAATCTGTAAGAAGCGGGTTACGGTAGTTCAAGCAGAGCTACTGTAATCAGGATTAAATCAAATTAATTTCCGCTGGTCATTCTCAGCTTGCATTCTGAAAATTAGTATTCTAGCACACAGCATTAATTAGCTGCTGCTTATGGGTGACATCTCTTACCTCTGATCTTCTGATCCTCTCCCACCAACGTGGGCTGACGCAGCTTAATATTTCCCTTTAACATGCTCCCCAGAAAGATTTAACATACTCGTAGCAGGGACATGGAAAATGTGAGTTAGTAATGAGGAGCGTGAAACCCGCCTGGCGGGGAGAACAGAGGGGAGGCTGCCGGTGACCATACCATTCCTACACAGAAGAGCAGCTCTGGAAACCTGCGTATTAGCTGTGTTTCCAAGGCTCGTGTCCGGTGCATCCACCTTCCACCGCTTGCAACAACCACCGGTGGCTGAAGGTTTATCGGAGGCTTACTCTGATCCGCACCGGCTGCCTGTCATCTCTCGGTAAACTAATCACCGGCCAGTGACTGTGATACAGCCACACGGCCTGCCTCGATGGTGGGTTAGGAGGTTCCGGCAGCTATGTTACATTTGGCCCGTTTCTGCCTTCTCTTTGCCACTGCAGCAGTAGGAGGAGGTTGCAGCCAGCCAGCCCATCTCATACGCTGGGTCTTTAATGAAGATGAGTTATCATTAACGTGGGGGTCCTCGCGCAAGCCTTTGCGATGTAGCGCTCGGATGGCCCCATGACAAGCCTGGTAAAAAAGGCTTAGCTGTGCTGGCGGGCGAGAGGCCATCTGTCTGCGTCCCACGCACCCACGCAGTATTTCTTATGCTGATCAAGAAGAGCAGACAGATGGCACTTCATCATGTGAAACCCGTCTTGAGAAATGCAAGCAGCTAATAGTAAATAGTGCAGGACTTGCTTTTTCTTGAGCTGAACGAGGGGAGAGGAGGAGGAATAGGGAGTGTTTCTGAGGATGCTGGGGAAGGCGAGGGAAGCCCTTGCCCCGCGGGGCGATGTGTGCCACCCTGTAGGGAGGGCTTCTGTTTGCGAGCGGTCATACAGCAGTCAGATAGTACCCCTGCTTTTCAGGGCCTGGTGGCTTCGGTTTGCTCCCCCCGTTCTCTCCTTCCACCCATGTGATCGATTTTGCACTGACTCTTTGCTTGTTCCTTTTCTCTCACAGGCCAGGGAAGGAGAAGTAGCCATTATAGATAAAGTTCTGGATAACCCAGCTTTGACGTCTAGAGACTTTCAAGAATGGAAACAAACGTACCTTGATCTCTTCATAGACATCTATCAAAGCAGCACCCCGAGGGACTCTGTTAATGGCTCGTCTGAGGTTGATGCACTTATAGCCTCCTTAGCGCACACTCACTCTTACATTGAAACGCATGTATAAAGGTCTCTCTTTTTGTCCATTTGCTCCGCTCCAGCCCTTTACTTAAGTGCATAAAGTAGTTTTTATATCAATCTGTGGGAGCTCTAGTAAATTATATTTTAATGTTACTCAGCTATGTGAAGTAAACTTTCAATGGTCAACGATACCATGTCTTTAATGAAGATTTGTATATTTTATATGCTACCAACGCTCTGCTTGTGTTTACATTCTGTGAAATAACAAACATGATCTTTGCCTATTAAGGAAAAGTATTTAAAAGCATTTTTGGACGACTGTGGCCTTCATGTAAGAAGTTCCACAAGCTAAAAGTTTTGTTATCGAAGGTCACTTTTACAACGATATTTTATATTATATAATTCCGGTATTGCATTGCATTTTTGGAGTGCAGGTACTATTTTGGTGGTGGGAGAAAACTAATTTTTATATTTAATGAGAAACTCTAGGAGTTTTCTTAAATAACAGGGAAAATGTGTAATGCAGTGGTTGTGTTTCACTTTTGTCAAACACACAGAAGGGTCAAAATCAGCAGACAGAAATGACTAATGTGAATTTAAGTCTCAGAAGGTTAGGTCTTATTTCCTTGTGCTTTTTTAAAGCCTGTTGCTAAGGTTTACCATCGGTGCAAAGGGATGCTGGTCTGTGTTCTAATTAAGACCAAATTATGTGTTATTTGTCTCTTTATCACATTTACTTGATTTTTTTAAAAAAGTGGTGATGGTACTGTCATTTATGCTGCTTTTGTACTGAAGGTATCAGTACAATGTGCAGATTTTGGGAAAGAGAAAATGTAGACTTTGAACATCCTTGATAGCGACGTTTCTCTTGCCCAGAAAAGCAGCAGTGGAAAAGGTTCCCAACGAAATGCTCCGAATCCAAAAGGCTTTGAAAATTCCCTCAATAGAAAAGGAATGAATAGGATTTTTCAAGTAGTCTCCTATGTGTTTTCTGAGCTGTGAAATTTGGCCATATTGTATGCCGGGAAAATGTGTGATGGGAGCAGAGCTGTGCACAGAACCTGAAAAAAAACTGAGGAGTAAAAAAGCCTCTGGTTTGCTTTTGAAGGGGGAGGGATGTCTCTGGGTTCTGCTGAGTTCACAAGCCAATTAAAATGTTTTAAACCTCCATGAGATTTGAGATGTGCTGGAGACAACCCAGTGAATATGACTAGAAATAACTAACTTAGAAATAACTAACTTCTTAGAGTTAGGTGCATACCTGGAATAGGAAAGTGGGAGGAAAACCTTAAATCACATATTTACTTTTTATGGGCTTGTTTTCGAAAAGTGATCAGAGCATGACAAAATATTTCTGCTGCTTTTCAGTATTTTGCTGCATAAGTTAGGAGTCACGACGTGATTTAATAATGCTCATGTGAAAAGGAAAAGCCTCCGTTATACTTTTTACAGTGAGTTGTACTCTTAACCAACTTTAGACTCTTGCCTGTACAGCTCAGTGAATGTAATTTAAACTTTATGAGCTCTGATATTCCCTGACAGTTGTATCCATGAAGGGATGAAGGAAGAATGGACAGATTTATTTTCTCTCTCCTTTTTTCTTTTTATTCCTCTCTCACCCTCTTTCTCTCTTTCTCCCCTTTCTCTCTTTCTCTCTCTTTTTTCCTTTTTCTCTCCCTCCTTCTCTCTTTCTTTCTTGTTATTTTATTGCGTTTGGATTGCAAATGTTTTGCAGATTTTGCACAATTGTACAGAAGAGTGGCCTTTCTGTAGCCCATTTTCAGTAATCCTATATTCAAGTCGATATGGATGACAAATCATGTATTAACGTTTGTATAGAATTCTGGATCCAGTGTAATATTTGTACCATTAGAAGAATATTGTTTGTATAAACTGGACATTTATTTACTGCATGGGTACTGACTTGTATATTAAATTTGTGAGGTTTTTGTAAATTTCTCTTAAAAAATGCTTGACTCGAAATGGATTGTGCTCTTGTTCCAAGCATTTAGATTCTCTTGCTATTGTTTTACTGGACCAAAAGTAAATATATTCATATAAAAAACTCTTTATATCTGATGGATGTATATGCACATTGTGTAGTTGATTCCTTGTCAAAACCAAGGCAGTTCAGAAGACTTAGATCTGTTGCTATGCAACAGCTATTCTGCCTGCACTTTACATTAGTAAAGTCAGCTTGATTGCTTTAAAGGTGAAAATTAAACATTACCGTTTTTTAAGCTAGTCTAGTGACAAAGAACATGTGTCCTCTCCGTTGTGCTGCCTTCTTTTAAGACTATTAAATGTTCTTCTATATATATTTTTATTGTATTAACTCTCAGCCTAGAAAAGGAACACTGTAAAATGAAGTACAATAAATTTAGCTTTTAAATGAACATTTGTGGCTCAAGATTCAATTTACTCCATACCAAAGCGATTCTGCGGCATCTGACCATTTTGCCTGCATTTCACAGATCCACGTACCCTAAGGTGCCCCCGTAATGTCTGCCTTCCAACTCTTCCAACAGGGCCAACAAGAACTAAGACTATTGCTCTTCTGTACGTAGGCAGACTCTGAATAAAGACTTCTGAAAGCCTTCAGTTACCTCCCTCCCCTTTGTACTCTTGGGTGAAAGTAAATCTTTTTTGACTGCGGGATTCTCCCATGTACTAGTTCAACAGCTGTGAACAATTTTAATATTATGACCCGGTACGATAAAGCAGCGTATGGTATCGAGGTAAGTATCAAGGCATTAGTTACAGCAACGCCTGTAACATGTTTCTTAGAGCCTAATAATAAGTATACCCACTCAGCTCTGGCCATCTAAACCAACATGAGGTTTGGATACAAAAGAAATGTACTGTACCAGTAGCGTGTGTCTTTAAAATAACACCAAATAAGCATCTGAAGAGCATGCTGCTCAACAAAGGCTGCTCAGAGAAAAGTAGCTTCTACGAAACAGTCGCTGTTTGGACTTATGACCATAACTGTGTCTACATATAAAAAAATCCGTGCTTTCTGTCCAGTAATTTCACGCTGGTTAGCTAAGACATTCTTGCCTAGTATGTAGCATATCAAATAATACTTTTTCCTTGGCGGTACTTATTATTAGTTCTCATAGGCATCAATTTTCTAGTCTTTATACATCTTACTTTTATTTTGCTTAGCCGTAGCATAAAAATTCAATAGCACTTACCAGCTGGGAAAATTACCTCTGATTAAGGAAACAGAAAAGACAGATTACATTTTTTAACCTTTGAAAAATCTGACTTGTAACACCTATTAATTGCTATCTAGGTATTATTCTTCAAAAGTCAAGGATTACGGTTCTCACTCGTCGCCTCTAAACATGCTACTTGCTACATCCTTCCTCGGTGAGATCGGCTTCTGTACATCCCAGCACCTTTTCACATGCTGGAGCCAGACTTTCTTGCTCGTTTTCCACCCAGTGTGTACCTTATCGAAGCAAAACCTCCGCTCTGTCACGTTCAGTGCCATTGCAATTTTCTCCTCCTTCTCCAGCCCTGACCCATGCCGGCTCATCTCCTGGGATGATTACTCCTCCGTGTGTGTGCTCAGCAGTTCGGTGGCCTCTTCTGCTGGCTGTCACTGTCCTGCTCATCGCCCAGTTCAGAGAGCTGCAGCACCGCACACTGCAGCCCGCACCAAGGCAAGGGGGCTTTGCAGATCTCTTCCCAGCCGTCGTTGTCGATGTCGTAGCCGACCACGTCTTGCGTGGGCACTTCCCGCGAGTTTTGCCATTTCTTACCCCCAATGAGAAGAGCTGTTTCCTCTACCACTGCCAGGCCGTAGCAAAACCGATCGTAGATCAGTGGCCTTAGCCGAGTCCATTGGTTTTGATCAGGGTCGTATCTTTCTATTTCAGAGAACGGTTCATACAATCCTAAGAATGTGAATATGGCTTCTCTGATTGTCGCCATCTGATGCCCAAACCGAGCAATGCTCATGGGAGCTTGTTTCACCCACTGCCCTTCAAGCGAGGTCAGAGAATATAGGTCCTTGCTTGTGTTGGCTGGCTCTGTGTACTTGCCGCCTGAGATGTATATAGTATTCTTGCAAATGGCGCTGGCATGGCCATGCATCTTGCACGGCAAATCCCTGGCCTTCGTCCATCTGTCCCTGCTAATGTTGTAGACTTCCACAGACGAATGCAGTGACCCATCCTCACCCCTGCCACCAATGGCAAAGATATCATGGCCTAGGACACAACAAGAAAACTGGCATCTCTTTTCCAGCATGCCCGTGATTTGGGTCCAGGTGTTAAATCTCGGATCGTAACGATGGACCTTATTTGTAACCAGTAAGATCTTTTCGGTTTTAGGGTCACCCGGGGCACCGCTTTCTATTTCCCCACCCAAGACGTAAAGGAAGTTCCCCACCACGCACACGCTGTGGTTCTGCACCCTGTTCCGCACCTGCGTGAGAGCTCGCCATTTGTGATTGTAAACATCAAAGGCCACCACATCAGTGACGAGCCCCTCGCTTGCTGTCCCTCCCCCCAGCAGAATGATCCGAGTTTTCTGGTTCCTCAGCGTGGTGGACTTATCCTGCAGGACAGGCTGTTTGAAAACAGATGTATGGTAATTTATTGCTTTAATGATCAAGCACTTAATACCTGCGGAGAGGGGCACTTCTGACTGCGTGTAGGCTTTTCTCAGCTCTTCCACCGGGATGAGGCCGTATCTTATGTGCTCTAAAAGGCTGCTGGCATGAGTCAGCCTGGATTTATCCTGCTTCAGCCACAGCAGCACAAGGTTCAACAGACGGGTTTCTTTCACCATGGGGAGGTCTGGCGATTCAACCACTGCTAGCAAAGACCTGAAGTTCAGCTCGAGCAGCCCTGACAAATCCAAGTCCAGCAGCTTCCAGAGATTGTTGACAATGTATTTTTCTGTTGCTACTAAGGCGTCCGGCAGGTAGAACTTCCTGGCCACGTTGGCAGAGAAGCAGCAGTTTTCCAAGGCAAGGTTGTTAACCAAGTACTGATTGCACAAGCCAATAGCATCAGTCACTTGCAAGTAGCTTGCAGCTTCCAAGGTATCTTCCAGGCTTTCAAAGGAAAGGGGCAACAAGGAAGTGTAAATGAAATCCAGGACGTGCTGGAGGCCAGTGGGTGAGACAACTTGAAGGTGAATGACACTGGCTTTAGACTCTTGAGTGTAACTTTTGAACATGGCTCGGAAATAGTCACTGGAGCATGCCAACAAGGACTTGTGTGCAGGAAACTCGTTTTCCTTTACTTTCAGTAATATATCGCACAGAAAGCCCTCTGATCTCAGGGTCTGGTACTGGGTGAGCACGGCGGTGCAGTGTGCTTTGCAGTAGGAGAGGAAATAGCTCATGGCAGGCAACGCAATGCTTTCCCCTTGAGTTATGAAAGCTAAAATGCAATTAGATATTGAAACAGCTGCCCTACTCAGCAGTCATTGCTCAAATGCCCAGCAGACCTCCAGCTGTTAGAGAAAAGCCCAACCCCCAAAAAAACCCCAATTCAGTCTCTTGCCTGGCATGGGGGAACAGTTAGTAGATTTGCAGTGAATTCAATGCATTCCTTTAGAGAAGAAAAACAGCTGAATGTCGTAGCAGCTGTGGGATGCTTACTTTTCTCTCCTCCGTCGCTTGCGCAAGGATGAATGGTCCACGGTTGTGCTGAGCGCTTGCTTGGCTGGCCATCAGGTGACAGATGAGGGAGCTAGATGACAATCCCAACAAATGACACTTTGTGTCTGCTCAGCCGTCGCCCTCGACCCTTCTCGCTCCGCAGGCAGATCAAATGGATCCTCTCTGGCTGCCAGCGCATGGCTCTGAGCAGACGTGGATGAGAAGGGCGCGCTGGCTTTTCTCCCCTCTTGTTTGTATTTCAAACTCAGATAAGTTTAGACCTCGCTGCTCCTGGGACAGCAGCCCCCTTTTCGTCCTCTTTTCGCGCTCTCCTAGGGAGCCTCCGCTGATGATAAAATCAGCGCCGGGGGACTATTACGTGAAGATTTTCTAAGCCCATAAATCCCTGCCCGGCAGGCACTAAGATAACCAAAATACCATGATTAGTCACTGGTTCGATTTGACATGCATTTCTGGGCTCTTTGCTTCACATGACACTGCCATAACTCACAGCTACCAGAATAGCCGCAGGCGCATCCCCTCGTCCCCTCTGCCCGGGAGCCGATCCCAGGCGGGCGAGCAAAGGGGCCGGGGACCGGGTGGGCAGAGGAGCTTCCACCAACAGCCGCAGCCAAAGCAGCTGACTTGGAGTGAGTGACCTGGCTGGAGATCACAAGGGTAACGCATTTGCACAAAGTGGTGACAAAAATAGATTACCCCCAGTTCGGCCGTAATAAGCTGGAATCTGTTTATAGAGGGGGCTTTGCATAATTGTGCTCTCGGTTACCAGCTGGGAACAAACCCAGAGCCCCCGTGGATGGGCCGGAGCTGACTCGCTCAGCTTTCTCACTTTCAGTTTGTCCCAATTAGAAGCACGTATATGGGGATTATCCCTGATTTTCACCCGGGCCCTTCAGGGTCTAATTTCTACCAGGAATAGTAGCTCTGAGTGGGCTACACATTCTGACCTCTTAAAACTTGCTTTTATTTTTCTTTTTTTTTTTTCCCTGTGTAACTCTGCGTGGAGGTGTTCAGGAATGTCCTTCTGACACCTTTCTTTCCAGGACAAACACACTCAGGACTTACAAACCTTGACAGGGTTGCTAAACGCCAGACCACTTTGCTGCGTCATGAGCCAGCAGACGTGGGGGCAGAGGAGGATCCCACAGGACTGAGAATGTTCACCTTTCGCTCAAGCCCAAGGTAAAGGCTTTTTACTGTATTTGCTTATATTTATTTATGTGATGTCAAGACACTCTGGCTCACCCTTGTAATTGAGGGGCATTTGGGATCATAATGTGGATCATGCACTCTGAGCAACTGCTCTAGTGGTCTTAAACTGTCTTGATAAGTAGACTGATACCTACACATGCTCTGCTCTGTTCGTGGGGAAGGACTCCAAAAACATCATTCTTTGTTGCTCTATAGCTCTGAAAATTGATTTCCTGCTTGAACATGCTTTCCGACATGACATTATAGACCATAAATCTTACTAAAAAGTGTTCCCCCTTGCTAGCAAAATGACATGTATGGGCAGTGAGGATGAAGGAGGAAAGAGATGTTTTGTCTCTCTTTTCCAATGGCTTTGCCTATGTCCATGTTGGGACAACTCTAAAGTATTTCAGACGTTGTTAGTAAAGCTGTGCTGTTGAGTCCAAGCTTCTGGTCTGATGCTTTTCCTGTTTTGCACCAACCGGAGACCGGGTACCTCTGTCACTCCTCAGCAGTCATGCCTGCTGGTGATGGGGGAACAGGCCTTGAATGTTCCTGCTCCTAAAGATACTTTTTTTCCCCCAATTTAACCCCATAAGGTACCAGAGTTCAGTAGCACGAAGTGCGGGTACACCTCCACTCTTCCTAAAACGGTGCTATCGCACTTTCCACAGGAGACCAAGCACTGAGCACAGGGGAGCAGGGGGGGCTGTGCCTTCAGTGCAGGATTGAGTTTGAGGAGCACTTCTCCAACAGTTCTGGCATAGGCAAGTCCTGGCACCACTCCTCTTCACTGACAGTCCCTGTCCTCCATCAGACCTTCACCTGTGCTGCCACGATTGCTGTGAGGCGGGGGCTGGGAGGTGATGTCAGGAAGTGATGATCAGAGACGACTGGGGGAAATCCAAAAATACAACAGCAGAGAGGTCTCTGCAGCCCGGATCAAGTCCTCAGTCTCTCCTTTTCTGTGTGACGCTCCCAAGCAGATGCAGTGCCCCAACCCAGAGTGCAGCAGAGGCCAGGACCAAGCCACTGGCTGGGCAGGCATCTAGGGACCCACCATCAGGAGAAACCCTTGGCACACGATGCCCACCCGACACACAGAAACCGGACTGGTCTTCTGTCACTGAGCCATGGCGCTGGTAAAGTGCTTTGTGTATGATAGTAAGCCACAGAAGCTGGGACTGAGGACACATACTTAATTAAAACCTATTTCCCCCAGATCAAGTTGTACCAGAAAGGGGTCAGAGATGTGGCTTGGGCAACTGTGGGTATTGCCAGCAGCAGCCAAAACACACTCCCCCCCATCAAGTGATGCACTCCCAGGCAAAGGCAACGTGCCTTTTCCTCTCCCTCAGCAACACCAGGCCAGACGCTGCCCAGGCTGGCACTGGTTTTGCTGGCACGTGTGAAGTACCGGCACAGCACCGTCCACAAGCGCTGTAGCCTCAGAGAGGCCACACGAGGCTCAGGCTGAATTGTGCTCAGAGCAATGCAGAGTTAACCAAACTGGCTGTGCATCGCTCGCTCTCCGAATGAATTCTGTGCGTGGGCTGTGGTTTATACAGGTCAGTTGCCAGCTGATTACAGTGCGTTGCCACAGGAGCCGGTGCTGATTTAACCGAACTGATTTAGTACCAGTGCCAGATAAGCAGGTCCTCTAATTGTATGCTGATTTGCTGTGCGATTCCCTCTCAGACCTACTTGGTCTTCATGGCAAGCAGGCTAATAGAAATAGCAAGAATCATGATCCTTATAAAGCTGTTTATTTGCCCAGATTGTTTTTTTCTTTTCTTTCTCTTATAATTGAAATAAAGCCAAATCCTTTCCAGTTCCTTGCTCTGGAGTGACAAAGAAAGAATATCATTATCGAAATGAGGTTCCACTTTTAGGCAGTTAGCTTTGGCTAAGTAGGGAGCCTACTCAGCCAGTACCCTCCTTTGTCAACAGACAAATTATCTCCAGACGGCAGCTCGGGTCTTCAGCACCTTTAGAAGAGTATTTAATGTCCATTAGGAAGAGAGCAGGCAGTGACTAGACAGCTAACTTATGAATCTCAGGGACAAACCTAGCACGGGGTGGGATGCAGTCAAGCCATGTTCTTATTTTTCTCAGCTGTAATTTGGAAGATCCGATCTAATGTTCGACTCACTAGATGGTGCTTAAAATTAGGGAAACATTAGTGTTTTGATGATATATGATTTCCTGGGAATAGATAATACATTTTTAATCATGTGCATCATTTAGACTTTAAATTAGATTTAGATTTCAGGCTTTTAGTATATTTTCTGTTGAATTCATTGCTTTACTACAGTAGAGAGTCTGCAATAAAAAAGAATATTCAGAGGTGAGCTGTGAAAAATGTTGGCTTCCATGCTTGCAGTTATTTTTTTTTCTATACAAAGCTGAAAGATGGGCTGAATTGCAATGCCATGTTCAGTGTAATCTTGCAAGTAGGCCATCAGTTAATAAACACCTCAATTACCATTGTAAATTTTCCCAATTATTTTTTAAGAGTAAAGGTTATGAAAAGAGTTGCACAAGTAAAATTAGGCTCATTAGTAACAAGTGGCTTACTGTAAAATATTCATTACAAAAGTCCACAGCGGAAGATTTCTAAGCTGCACTTTGTTCCAGAAAAAATCAGTGCAGTCCAGAGGACAACAGAGCAAATGCTTTAGATGCTTGATAATGTACCGCATGAACAAATATAGCAAAAGTGAGTCAAATGATGAATGTAATAGGAATGATGTAGCATATAGGTTTTCTAGAAACTGCTAATCAGGAAGATCATATTGATTTAAGTTGTCTTGTAAAAAATCATTGGACTAGAGTCTGTACTTCATCCTTGAATAATCATTCACAGTAGTATTTGGGTCACCCCATCTATTTAAAGCAAAGGATGTTTAGCCTGGGAAAGCAGTCTTTAAGAACAAAACAGTAAGAGGGAGAAATATTCTTGCAGCTAAAAGCAATGTGTGGTGAGATCATGTCTATATGTAAGTGAAGGGGAATGTTACCAGCTTGGATGAGGTGGGCTGAGGCTGTCAGGTTTCCCTTTTTGCAGGGGGAGTCTGGGGACACGTGGCTTTAAGTACTGTCTGTGTGTGAAGGAGAAGGAGATGTCCACAGGACACTTTGCCCCCCGTGAGCTGGGGGAGCAGGAAATCAGCGCAGGACAGTGCATCCCCCGGGCTGTCGGAGGAGACTGCAAACCCTTGGCACACCATACCCATCCACGTGCCACCTAGCAGGGGTCTGCATCCAGGGAGGATGCTGGCAGGGAACTTTGGCTGAGTGCAAGCCTCCGGCTGCCACTGGGGAGAAGAAGAGGTTTAGTGTGAGCAGGAGTCAGAGCGGGGATCCCAGCCAAAGCCTGCTGCAAGGCCATGGCTGCTAAGCCACGGCCTGTGTGGCAGTTTTCTGTGGTTTTGAGGAAAATGGGAAGGAGGGAATAACATTGGCACAACCGGGTTGGGGGTACCGTGCCCCCCTTGGGTTACGCTAGTACTAACTACACCAATGCGAG